AATATGACCAACACACAATCACAGCCAATGTTAAAGAAAAACAAAAACATCTCATCACAGAATCAACCAAAAGACAAAATAAATAGTAATTTGAATAAATCTATCATGTACAGCCACAAAAAAAAAGAAGTTGCAATGATATACGGTTCGCTGTAGGAGATAGAAGCTACCGCTGGCACTTATGTATATATGATGTAACATCAATAGGTGATGATAAGGTTAAAGAATTATTACCCAAAAGCTTATCTTAGAAGAAGAAACAAACAAAATGACGATCAGGAGTTTATGCTTTGGACTGCATGGTTATGGTCAAAAATGAGCTCTACTTATATTAAATAGTCACTAGCAAAATCTAAACGCCTGAATAAAGAGAGAAGAAGTACACATATAACAAGAATACAGGATACAAAACCAATGGCTTTTTCGATTGCAACTCGTCAACGCATAACAATGTTCCGGCGCTATAGACACTCCATAGGACTCCAAATATGCCAAGACCCAGTGATAGTGTTCTGAATCTAAAAAAAAGGAATTCAAATAGAGCACTGGAACGAGTTATTTTAAGAATTCCGAAATGCTGAAATTATGATGTCAAAAAGAGGAAGTAGATGTTCCAATTATTATAAGCATTTCGAATGTGTACAAAGAAGATAGCATAGGTGGAGAAAGTGAAAGAAGGATAAACGCAAAGGTGATTTAGCCTATCCCTTGGGCTCATCCACACCTGGCGATGGGAGGTATGGGGGACGTGCGCAGTCGCCGACCCTTTGTTTTCTTCTAGCGTCAAGAGGTGCCGAATGGGTGCAATTTTGGTGATGGTATACATTATTAGTCATATCACTCAAAACCTCTATGATTATTAATCCGTAAGAACTACTTTAATTTGATTTCCCAGTTGATTGTACACAACACTTCGTACATCCTTTCCGCACTTTTCTCATTCTTACCGAAACTTCTGTTAGAGCGCAAATACGATAGACCACCAAAATCGCCGCTTGACGCAACAAGAAGTCCATCTAGATAGACAAACTGGGTCGATTTTTGCTAACACCCACCAACGCCGTAGGAAGCTGGTCGTCGCTGACATTGCCAGCTATAATGGATCCCTATCGCGATAGCGTCAGACGTCAGAAGAAGCTGCATGCCGAGGTGATCAATATACAATGCATTAAAGACAGCAAGCTAAGGTTGCCAATCGCCAGCTATGAATGGTGCCTCGCACTTTCACTGACAGGGCGTAACCAAAAATTCAAAATCATGAAGAAATAGGTAGTATAACCAATCCTCAAACAAATATATTCAAATGAAAAAACCTCATAAGGAGGTTATCATGAGAAAGATAAAATGAAACTTGTAAACTTGATAAACTAAGAACTGCTACTAACTATAACACATCTGCGTAAGGGTATGACGGAAGAGTTTAACAAACCTGGTAACGAGGGTCATGAGTGCCCCTGTAACAACTAGTGGAATCAGGCAGTATCCAACGACACCCAGAACCTAAAAAAGAGATTTATATTTATGAAACCGTAAATTTGAAGACAATGGCTGCTCGAATTTTGTACTTTGAGGAAAATTTCTAAGGCAATCCAATAGAAAAGAAAAAAGACTTTAACTCAATTTTCAATTAGAATAGGTAATAGTGAGAAGGCATTTTATAACAACCTAATGATTGCAGACCTGAGAATATCCAACGTCTCCTCCAAGTGCTCGAGCAATGAAGTAAACGATGAAGCCACCGCAGAACCACATCGTCAGTATCCACGATACAACCTAAAAATACCATTTTACGATTTTCAACAAAACATCATCAATTGAAAAATTCTCCCGACAGTCATGCTTACTACGAGGATAGCTCTTTAACTAAAAGGTTTTCCATAACTGAAAACTGAGAAAACACCCTGAACCTGACAAATCCAATCGTCAGCCGAGTCACTTCCTGCTAAAAGAAGAGGAAATTAAGGATTTGTAATGAGCATACCGAACTTACACTAAACTGGCCGTATATGGACAGCAACGCATAGGCGATTACCACCATCAATGGACCCCAGAAATCTGGCGATTCACGGACTATATTCAGCTTCATTCGAAAGTATGGCAAGGGCAACAGGATACACCGGATTTTGTAATAGATATCAGTCAGATCGATATCGAGTTCTTCCCTGAACAAATAAAGTGCTCTGGTTGAAGTCGAAAAACAGACACCACAATAACGATAAAGCGGCTGATTTGAGATAGTCTTTGTAATAATTGCGCTGCATTACTAAAGTTGGATTGTGAACGACTATAACCCATACCTAGTAACAAACAAAACCCACATAGATCAAAACCGATTACGGAATGCATACAATGGGAAAATGGAGGAGTGAAAAAGACCTAAGCTAAACTAAAAGAGTAGGAAAAACCTACAATAATGGAGTTTGTGTATCATCCTCGTCGTCTACTTCCAAAAGCCAACCAAATCCTTTGCTTTCGAGTAAGCGTCCAGCTGCTCCTAGCTGTGCGCGGGAGTACGCCGAGGAAGAGATATTGCCAGATGGCAACGATGAGGAACCAACATCATAACCTGAACGAGGGGAAATTAGGAAGAAACTGCTGATTTTGGATTAACATCTAGCAAGCTCTTATATCGGATCTGACTGTTTGTGTACCCTCAATTTGACTACGGAAAGACTATTGAGAAATACCCTCAACAAAT